TTCCTCTTCCTAGTGCTAGGATTATAGGTTGACATCAGTTCAGATTAGGAACTCAAGTATAGAGTATCCATTAGAGATCCTACAGCCGAAGCTTCCTACTCCTCACACAGGACCGATTGCCCGCTAACACAAAACTCAGCTACCATCAGCACTGCCAGGTCTACTTCATGGCCCACTTTCAGGGCTTAAGGAAGCTATAGCTGCCTGCTACTTATTCTTCTTTTAAGAAAAACTTTACAAGAAATCTTTAATAAATTAAAAAAAAAAGAAAAGGAACAAGTACACATCATAAAAAAAAAAAAAAAAAGAAAATAAAAACTTTACAGAGGCCAGTCTACAGAGCAAATTCAATCCCATCAGTGACTGTACAAGCAAATAAGACTATGTTGGCTGAAGACTGGTGAGGTGGCTCAGTGGACACTTGGCACTAACCTGACAGCTGAACTTAGGTTCAGTCCCCCAGGATTTGCATGGCAGGAGAGAACTGATTCCCAAAAGCTGCCGTCAGACCTCCACATGTATACCATGGTATCTCCACCAAAAAAAAAAAAAAGTTTCAAAATTCTAAGACTATGTTGGCTTTATATGTTGCTTTTAACCAAAGTCCCTCTGGACTGGTAAGGATATCAAGAGGCTATCTTTATAGCCCACTTCTATCTGCTTTTGTCTTCTTTTACTTCATGAAGCAGTAACGTGTATTGTTTAGTGTGTAGAATATGGGATTTCTACAAAGAGCTAATATTCTATAAGCCAGACAGAACTTGTACTGAAGATAGTGATTTGAGAGCAGAGTTGGGGGATAGATCTGCTGGCCAGGTAAGATGGTTGGAGAACATTGCCTTCTTAAGTCTGTTGTAGGCAGAGCTGCAGCACTTAAGGTAATCATCTCAATTGACTTTTCTTGGCTCATGCAGCATTTCATTCTGTAAAATAGACATTTCAGTAAGCCAAGCAAAGGAGACTAGCTTATAAAGACTTAAAAAGAACTGGCAATATGGATTAGCAGGTAAAGGCACTTGCCACGAACCTTGTAGCCTGAGTTCAATCTCCAGTACTCACATGATAATAAGAAAATAACCAACTCCCACAAGCTGTTTTCTGAGCTCCACACATGTCCATGGCACATACATATATACATTCTTAGAGAAAGACATGGATAGATGGATAGGCAGAATATAAATAAGTATAAGTAATTAAATGTAATTTAAAAATAAAAACTTAGAGCACTTGCCATTTTTACAGAGGACCTGAATGTGGTTCCCAGCATCTACATCAGGTAACTCTAGCCCCAGAAAGTCTGATACTCTCTTCTGGACTCCACAGGCACCTTCATTGACACATACATACACATATGTATTTTTTACTTATAAGTAAAAACTAAAATATTGTCTTAATCTTTAAAGACAGGGAAAAAATTAAAGCCAAAACAAAATATTAATTTGGGGGCAGGCACATATGTGTTATGGAAGGGTCTTACCATATAGCCCTAGATAGTCCAGAACTGACTACATGGCCAACCTTGAACTTGCAACAGTCCTCCTGGGTCCTGAGATTATAGATGTGTATCACCATACCCATATTAAGTTGGTCTTCTCAACGTTACTTTTCTTGCAAGGGACAAGAATATAGAACAGTGTTGGAGAAGGGCCTGCTTTTGTTGGTTTCCAGCTGCCCTGTTAGCTAAGCCTGAAATAATCACACAGAAATTGTATTAACTAAATCACTGCTTGGCCCATTAGCTATAACTTCTTATTGGCTAACTCTTACATCTTAATTTAACCCATTTCTATTAATCCTTATATCACCACAAGGTCATAGCCTACCAGCAAAGTTCCAGCATGTCTATCTCTGGCAGCAGATCCATAGTGTCTCTTTCTCCACCTTCCTTCTCCCAGCATTCAGTTCCCTCTTCCCTGCCTACCTAAGTTCTGCCTTATCAACAGGCCAAGGCAGTTTCTTTATTCATTAATGGTAATCACAGCACACAGAGGGGACTCCAACATCACCTCTCCCTTTCTGTTTAAATAAAAAAAAATGAAGTTTTAACTTTAACATAGCAAAATTACATATAACAAAACAGTTATCAAGTAAGAATTATACCTACTTGTTAGTATTGAATGCTTAGAGATTATGTTTTTTTTTATTTTTGGAGTATGTATATGTGTGTGAGTGATATATATATATATGTATATATATGTATATATATATACATATATATATATACATGTGTGTGTAGGTGTGGGCTCATGTAGAGACCAGAGGAAGTGACAGAGTATCCTCTCACTCTCTGCTTCCTTCCCTTGAGACAGGATCTTTCACAGAACCTGGGATCATCCAGCAAACACCGGCAATTCTCCTGTCTATGCCCCCACCAATGCTGGGATTAAAGGAATTCATGCAGCCATGCCCAGTTTTTTACATGGGTGCTAAAATCTAAACTCAACCTTTCATGCTTGTACATCAAGGGCTCTTAGACCCTGTATGCAGCAAGTAGCCCCACCTCCCCAGCCTACTCTTTCTCTATATCTCTGTTCAGATTTTCTGCCTGGCTATTGCCCTTCCGTAGGTCAAAGCAGCTTCTTTATTAAACAATGGTAATAAAATTCACAGCATACAGAAGGGAATCCCACATCAGTAAGGGATTAGATCTTCTGCCCTCTCCTACCCCCCACCCTTGGGAGGGAATATTTTAGTATCACCTTTGTAAACTTTTTCACGTTTGGAACTGAGTTGTCTGGAATGAGTTACAGACCCAGTTCTGTGTGTTATATCCAACCTCATGTGAGCAAAGGAACTTTTTTCTGATTGATAGTCATGTCCTCAGGTCAGGTTCTCATAGTTAGAGCACAGACTTTTCCCCTTTAGACCTTGGTTCCTGCTCCATTTCTGAGTTTCTCCCCTTTTAAAATGGGTACCTTTCACAATTGGGAGGTATTACTGGGTATTCCAATAAGTTCCAGTTTCCAGTGTCAGCTGTCCTCTTACAGGCATGGTGATGTCTCTCTGGGAACTCTTTATGGAAAGACACACTGGCCTCAGCTAGGACAGGAATCAGAGTAAAGAGAATATGTTTTATTTAATTATTTTATAGAGAAACAATTCTAACCAAAGTGCAATTATTTATAAACATTTATATATTGAAAATTATTGTGGTTTCTTTTTAAGTGGTTGAACTTTTATTCTAGTCTTTAATAGTATTTTTTAACTTTTTTAGATTTATTTTTATTTTTTATGTATGTTTTACCTGTGTGTATTTGTGCCATATGAATGTCCAATGCCCTTGTAATGACAAATGGTTTTAAGCCACTGTGTAAATGCTAGGAACTAAACCCAGGTCTACAACAAGTGCCCCTAACTGTTGAACCATCTTTTCAGCCTTCTCTAACAATATTTTCACCAGTTTGATCAATTTCTTTTGTTGTTGTTGTTGTTATTGTTGTTGTTAGATTCATTTGTTTGTGGGGGTGGGGAGTATATACAAACATGCCACAGCCAATGTGGAGATCAGAACTCTTTCCACCACTCTTTCCCAGGACTAGAACTCAGGTTGTCAACCTTGACTCCAGTATGTGCCATTACCCACTAAGCCATGTCCCTAACTCCCAGCATGATTAGTTTTGATCCCACAGATTCATGAACTTGAACATAGAGCAGCTTGCTTGAAGATTCTTCATATCACTGTTTTATATATTCTGCAGTATAATTTGATCTTAATTATTGGACATAGATAAGCAGAATGGTATTATGCACCTTAGTTATAAGATACTAAATATCTTGGAGCACTTAAGAACAAGGATTTTTAGAGCTATTACTGAGGCTCTTGAGACCTTGTCCATCTGGGACTTTGACTGTCTGTCCCTTCTACAGTCTCTAGCGACTGCTTCTCAAAGGTGAATCAGCATTTGGAGGAAGTAATGCAAAAGGCACTGTACTAGTCTCCTTCAAGGGTTTGTATCTTGCTGTGCGGGGGTGGGAAGCAGGGCTCTTCCATTGATCTGCATTCCTAACTCCAACAGTATCATTGAAATAGGAAAATACGGTGGTGGTGGTGGTGGTGGTGGTGGTGGTGGTGGTGGTGGTGGTGGTGGTGGTGGTGGTGTTCTGTTTTGTTTTCTCAGTCTTAGGCATCACACCCAGGGCCTCCTATGTGCTAGGCAAGTACTTCACCACTGAAGTACACCCCTAGGGTGTAAGAACACTGTCCTCCTCCAGCCTCAGCTAACTAACTGCTTTGACGTGTAGGAAGGAGTTCAAGCTTTCAAGTCTAAGCAGTTGTCCTTTCTTCCATTCCTTTTAGTGACACTCTCCCATATGAAACGACAGTGTGTGAGCTTTCTAATTGTAGTTTCTTACCCAAGGCAAACCTTTTATTGTATAAAACACAAAATTGGGGCTTAAAAAGATCTAACCTTAGTCTCTGATTTGTTTAATCATTTAACCTCTCACTGTCCCTGTCTATTCATACCATCTTCCTGGGTACACCACAGTTACTTAATTCAGAAGCGTTCAGCAGCACCTCCCCAATCTAGCCTCTGTTTCCCACTGCAGCAAAATGTCCCAAGAATAGGGAATGATCTCATTATCCTGGGTGTGATTTAAAACTAACAAACATTGTGGTAACAATTGGATGCTTTTATCTCAGTATCAACCTTTCTATTCTTGCTAGCATTTTCAGGGGACCAATCTGTGAGTGTGGCTCAAATGATTTTCATAGGATTTCATTGAAAAGCTGACATGCTATCTTATATGGATTTGCTTCTGAACAGATGTATGTATAAGAATGCGAACTAATTCATGCTTTCAACCCATAAAGGGGGCTTTGTTATTTAAAGAAATACTGTATAAAGACTAGCCAAGAGGGCAGCAGGGCTTTTACAGGACAAGGGTTGTATGGGTCAGCCATCTGTGCTGAGAGTTGAGCATTAACAGATTTTCAGCACGTTTTGGCTTATTGATTCTGGACTGCTTCTAATATTCACCTCTTGCTTTTAAAATGTTAGGTCGAGCGTTTGGAAGTAAGCAGCCTCGCCCAGACTTCCAGTGCGGTGGCCTCCAGCACCGATGGCAGCATCCACACAGAGTCTGTGGATGGAATACCAGACCCTCAGCGCACAAAAGCTGCCATTGCACACCTGCAGCAGAAGATCCTAAAGCTAACAGAACAGATCAAGATTGCGCAGACAGCCCGAGACGACAACGTTGCTGAATACCTGAAGCTTGCCAACAGTGCAGACAAGCAGCAGGCTGCTCGCATCAAACAGGTATTTGAGAAGAAAAACCAGAAATCTGCACAAACCATCCTCCAGCTGCAGAAGAAGCTTGAGCATTACCACCGCAAGCTCCGTGAAGTGGAACAGAATGGGATCCCCCGGCAGCCCAAGGATGTCTTCAGGGACATGCACCAAGGTCTGAAGGATGTGGGTGCAAAGGTGACTGGCTTCAGTGAAGGTGTGGTGGACAGTGTCAAAGGTGGATTTTCCAGCTTCTCCCAGGCTACCCATTCAGCAGCAGGGGCTGTGGTCTCCAAGCCCAGAGAGATTGCCTCACTGATTCGGAACAAATTTGGCAGTGCAGACAACATCCCTAATCTGAAGGACTCATTAGAGGAAGGACAAGTGGATGACGGGGGAAAGGCTTTAGGGGTGATTTCGAACTTTCAGTCAAGTCCAAAATATGGTAGTGAGGAAGATTGTTCTAGTGCCACTTCAGGCTCAGTAGGAGCCAATAGTACCACTGGGGGCATTGGTGTAGGAGCATCAAGCTCCAAGACAAACACCCTAGACATGCAGAGCTCAGGGTTTGATACACTACTGCATGAGATCCAGGAGATCCGGGAAACCCAGGCCAGACTGGAGGAATCCTTCGAGACCCTCAAGGAACATTATCAGAGGGACTACTCCTTAATAATGCAGACCTTACAGGAAGAGCGGTATAGGTAAGTTCTGTTAAATTTAAAGCCTAAATTATTTGTTCCCTTCTCTTTGAATGTGGAGAAGTGAATTTAAAAGATGTCTGTCTCTAGAATGTCCCAAGTGTTCAGATCTGTCAGTAACAGCCGCAGGAGTTCTATGTCAGTCAACACAGCCGTTAAATGACTAAGATCACACACAGATGTAGCATTTCTTCACTCCTCAGTCTTCTATTCCAGTTTTTGACTTTAACATGAAGCTCAGGCTTTCCGAGGTATTTCTTTAATGATCTGAGGCCATGATACATAGTCATTGAAGCCTTCACTGCATTGCACTGAATTCAGAACTTGTTAATCCTGAGAACTTTGTAAATAGCTAATGATAGTGAGGCTATAGCCTAGCCAAAATGTAGTGAACCTTGTGGGGTTTTGGCTTTAAACATACTTATGTCAGCAATATAGAAAGAACTGGGACATTTGGATGATAGTGGACATAGTATTAAGTCATTCTACTGTAGTTAGAAAGTGCTCAAAGAGCTCAGTGCTCTTCATTCAGAATCTGTACCAAAGTTTAGAGTGGGTCATTCATTCTTGCTATAGGGATGGAACCCAGAGCCTTATCCATGACCACCCACACCCTGTGCTGAGTTTGGTTTTTCACATTGCACATAGGTTTCTGTTGGACCACTCTTGTCCAGTCTACAAATCTGTATCCTGTCTTCCAGGTAGAGAAAGAATATCCTCCCCACAGTAATCACTCAGATCCAAACTTATGGGCCAGATATTGGCAACCTCGTGCAGATCAAGAAACAATCTTAGGAGAGTGCTGTCTCTGCACACAAAACCTTGCAACACCTGAGCACTGGCCTTGTTCCTGTCCCTAACTAGAAGAATCTCCAGTACTTTACTAGACATTGGGGTTTGAACAAATGAATTCCCTTTCACCTCTTAAAAACTAAAAGTGATGCTTTAAAACTTTACTTTTGTGAGGTAACTCAGTGTCTGAAATAAATTGCTTGTGTTTATCACTTAGTTTTTTTTAATGTTTATTTCTTTATTATGTATACAATATTCTGTCTGTGTGTATGCCTGCAGGCCAGAAGAGGGCACCAGACCTCTTTACAGATGGCTGTGAGCCACCATGTGGTTGCTGGGAATTGAACTCAGGACCTTTGGAAGAGCAGGCAATGCTCTTAACCTCTGAGCCATCTCTCCAGCCCCCTATCACTTAGTTTTTTTTAAAGACAGCAGCAACAAGCTTGCTCCAAATGGTGAAAATGCTAAGCAGCCATCCAGTCCACCTTTGCTAATTTTCTTCAGTTCTCATTGACACTTTGAGAACCAAGGGATATGGCTCAGTTGGTAAAGTGCTTTCTAACATGTGCTAGATAAATTGGTGATAGTATACATCTGTAATTCCAACAAGAAGATCAAAAGCTCATCAGTCAAAAGCATTTGCTGTCTTCAGGGAACCAAAGTTCAATTTCCAGTACATCATGTGACTAACAACTGCCCATATCTCCAGCTCCTGTGTTTATGATGCACTCTGTTGTCTCCTATTGACTTACATAGACAAGCATATAGCAGATACACACTTAACACATAAATAAAGCCTTTACAGATTTTTACAAATAAGTCTTTTTTTTAATCAAAGTCATATGTAGTCCAACTTTTCTGTCCTGACCCCCAGCTCCCAGATAACCACATAAAGATTTATTAATTATAAATGTTTAGCCAATAGCTTAGGTTTGTAACTAACTAGCTCTTTCAACTTAAATTTACCCATATTTCTTATCCATGCTCTACCCCCTAGCAGTACCTTTTTTCAGCACTGCATATTCATCTCCTAATTCCTCTGCATCTCACTGTTGACTCTGCCCTTCTTCCCCAGTGTCCCTTAGTCTGGCTCTCTCATCTACCCTTTTCCTGCCTAGCTATTGGCCAGTCAGCTCTTTAGAGTACAAAAGGGATATTCCACAGCAGTTATCCATAGGAAATGTGAAGACAGCATGAGTCACATGAGACCTTGTCTTGAAAAATAATCAAAAAGAATTTTTTAAAGCGGGTAGATAGTATAGTGGCAGAGTGTTTACCTGACTACCAAAAAGTGGGTGAGAGTACTGATAAAATGGCTCAGCACACAGAAGCACTAGCTGCCAAGACCTGAGTTTAATCCCCAGGACCTATCTGATGGAAAGAGAGCACTAACTTCCACAAGTTGTCCTCACACCTCCATATGCACACGCTGACATACATGCACATGCATGCGCGCACACACACACACTAAGTGTAATAATTTTTTGGAAAAAAAGACGGGTGAAAGAAGAATGAATTTAGGAAAGAAAGAAAGTTAAACATGTTTCTGTCATCAGTGCTTTCTGTATCTATTATACTGGGAAGATAGTGTTCAAGTGAACTGATTAAATAAGATACTTGGTCCTTTTTTACCATATTAAAACTAAATCCCAAATTCTAATTCCATTTCTGTTACTAGCTGTGAAAAACAGGTAGATTTATTGACATCTGTGTCAAAGTGTCCTGCCTGTATCATAAGAGTAGCAAAAGCCCTGCACAAGACTATTACAACACTGAAATGAAATGCATGCAGCCAGAGCTGGCCCCACAGTGCTGCAATGATGTCAGGTGACCACTGCTACTAAGTCCCAGCCCCACCCTCCAGAAGACCTCTCTCCATTATTTAAGAGATAAAATTAACATTCCTGTTATTAAATTCATCTAGGGTTTAAAATTCATATAGAAATTGTTTTCTTCAAGTTAGATATAGACCAGTGTGAGAAAAGGAGAGGAGGGAAAACACATGTGGAAAAGTCTGCCTTCCTGTGTCTATTAGAGTCAGCCCTAGACTGGCACTTCGTCTCCTTACCACTGCTGTAGGATTGTGTCTCAGCCCCTTCTGCATGTGAGCAGCTCTGTTCCTTCATTTTACTGTGGGGTCTCTGGAGTAGAGAGTGAAGAAACCTAAACCCTGCTGGATGTGCACTTGTCACTGCTCTCTCAGCCTCGCTATGATATTTCCTTACAACAGAATCTTGAAGACTTTGAAAAGCCACATTTTTTTAATACTGGTAATTCCCTAGAAAGAATAGTTTTAAAAGCGGGGGGTTGGGGGGCTCCATTGTTTGTCCTCATGCAGCAAATGCATTTGTCTAACATTGTTGGTCTTTGAACAGTTTCACAGAGTGACACTCTTCTCTTGAATGAAAAACTATTTTGGATACCAAAACTTCTCACATTTTAAGTATTTTTGGAGAATTCCTGTAGTACACTTTGACAAAATAACTTAGCTATCCAACCAGGGGTGCTCTGGTTATATGTCTGCAGGAAATGTTCCTAGCTGTTTGTTTGACTGTTTAGCTTGTCTCCTTTACATCTGTATGTATAGTTTGTTTTTCTCCTTTCCCTACCTCATCCATGCTACACTGTTAATGCGCTTCCTACAGTAGCCTGTCTACTAGTTCTGTTTTTCTTTTCCCCTCCTCTATGGTCTTAACACATGCTAAAGAAATATTCTGCCATTTAAGCTACACCCCAGCCCATATTTATATTTCTACTTCGTTGCAGGCTTTAATTTTATAGGGAAAAAAAGTAAGTGATAAGTGAACTATATAACCAAGAATTAGTTAACTTGGACATGGCTTTTCCAGTGTCTTGTCTTTTCTGTTTCTGTGATTTATCTTACCAGTGCCTGAACAAGGGAGCAACCATTGTATGATAGTAATGATGTTGATGATGATGATGATGATGATGATGATGATGATGATGATGATGATGATTTACAGATGATAACACTAACACTTTGAGAATTTGCTAAACTGCTGTGATACACTTCACTAACTCTCACAGCAACCTGCAAGTGGTCTGTGTTATCCCATTGTATAGTTGAGGAAAACTGAGGGCCAGTGACAGGATGGTTGGTTGGTTGGTTGGTTGGTTGGTTGGTTGGTTGGTTGGTTGACTGGTTGACTGGTTGACTGGTTGACTGGTTGACTGGTTGGTTTTTCGAGGCAGGGTTTCTCTGTGCAGTCCTAGACGTTCTAGAACTAGCTCTGTAGACTAGGTTGGCCTTGAACTCAGATAGCACCTGCCTCTGCCTCCCATGTTCTAGGGTTAAAGTTACGATCTTTTACATCCAGCCAGTGTGTTGAAATAAGAGCGACAGGGCTGCGTCCCCAACACCCCAGCCACTTGGCTAGCTCATGCCCGAAATAACAACACACAAACTGTATTCATTTAAGAACTGCTTGGCCCATGAACTCTAGCCCTTACAGGCTGATTCTCGCACCTGGTCTAGCCCATTTCTAATGATTGTTTGTAAGCACCCCAAGGTGCGCTTACCGGCTTACCGGGAAGATTCTAGCCTCCTTCCTGCTGTCCGGGAGCAGAGCAGAGTCTGACCTCACTTCCTCTTCTGCCCAGAATTCTATTCTGTTT